TAGTTTCCTGCTCTTAATTGTGAATGCATACTTGATGGTTTTAAATGCTCCTGAAATTAAGTGCTGCTTGACGAGCCTATACAGTATTGTGTTCATGTATGTGACGTCACTGAAGGCCTAAGGTTGAAATGCATGGCCCGCCACTGCATTTCAGCATATGTTACAAATTTTGATGCATTACATAAATGCCACCAAAATCAACACAACGCCATCCCGAAATCATATTCAAAACCTAATTTAGGATGCTAAGAAATTGTTCGTTCATTACAGCGCCATTGTATGATACAGCACAAGTCTCCGGCATTCGCTGCCAGAAGCTAGCCGCTAGCGGCTAGCAACGAGAGCTCAACTGCCAACAGCAAGTAATCCGACGGCTGCTGCTTTGCTTTCTTTCTTTCTTTTCTTCGTTTTCAAGGATGTGGACATGGGCTGAAATGTAATTCACTCTCCATGTTTGAACGGAGAAAAAAAAATTGCACATTGAGGTCTTTTTCAGCCACGCTCCGTACATAGAATCATCAACATGTTTGAGTGAAGGGGTACTCATTGTGTGACAGATTGGGAACCATTGCGATTCATAACATCGATTTGCCTGGTGCAGTCTTCCTTCTGCGTTTACTGATACAACCACTACACACCATCAAAGAGTAGTTTTATGACAGTTAAATATGTTAAAATATTACTTGAAAACAAAATCAGTACATTTAATATTTTATGGTGGCAGCAATTTGACAGTCATTCAATTTCAGTTTTTATGGAAAAAAATGTTTATGAAAAGCATAGAGGTTGAAAATTAGATTATGGTTGTGATTGAATTGCCTTTACTTTCATGTATGCATTTTTTTTACTTTGACCTTCATAACATAACATAATAAAGTCCACATCTTTCAGTAGTAACATCAAATGTTATACATAATTCCCTTTATTTAATTTCTCTACTGCAGGGGTGTCAAACTAATTTTGGTCGCGAGCCATATTGTAGTCTCGGTTTCCCTTGGAGGGCCGTTATGGCTTTTGGGAAACCATATAAATATTTAATCCCCTCTAGAGCTAAGATCGGTCCTAAAAAATCGAGCCCGACCCGACCGGGCCTGAGGGTATTTAAGCCCGACCCGGCCCGAGCCCGATCACTTAACTTGATTTGCAGGCCCGAGCCCGAAGCAAACCCGAGATTTCATATTTGTGAGGACTCGGGAGGAGGAGGGGTGATTTCTGATAACAAAGCCTGTCTTTTGTAACGAAATCTAAGTTAAACAAGACTGTATAAACATTTACATCTCTTATATTTCTGTTTCTGAAGAGGTTACATTAACCGACAATTTCTTATCATTGACGGATTTTTTTTTCTTAAGAGTGGACGGGGAAAATTTAAGGCCATCCGTCATTTTGACGGGTTGAAAATTGGGCCGTAAACCACAGCAGCTGTACGTCCTTAAGAATCTAGCGCGGCACTTTAAGAGAGAGAAGCAGAGAGACAAAGACGAACAATGACGCGTGGATACTCGACAGAGACTGGAAGGAGTTCTAAGAATTGTCATTGCAAGAGTTTAGTACAGTACATGTTGTGATGACGCGACTTCTGTTTTTTGGCGAACCACGGTCTTTCGTGGCCAAAACAATTCACGGCCTCGAAAAAAAAAAAAAAAGTCAGCGAGAGAGAAGCCCGACCCGACCCGAACCCGAAGCAATGATTGATAATTTTAGGCCCGACCCAACCCGAATTTCGGATCGGGCTCGGGCTCGGACGGCCCGATCTTACCTCTAATCCCCTCCACATATTGCATACACAGCGCACAACAAATTGATGAATAACTAGTTTTATCATCAGAAGTCCAGAAAAATTACTGTTATTGTGGATTACATATGACAATTTGAAAGTTTGGTTCAAACTTTAGCAAGCATCATGGAACTTGACATGCGTGATTTGGTTTCGCGGGCCACATAAAATGATGTGGCGGGCCAGATTTGGCCCCCGGGCCTTGACTTTGACACCGGTGCTCGACTGGGTTGTTCAAAGCAAAGTTTCCACCCTAAAATCTTCGGTCCAAAACAGTTTCTACAAGGCGGCTTCAGGATGGAGCGATTTAATGTCACAAACAGCTATGACGGTGATGAAAAATTTTCGAATAGAGGAATTGCCTGAATGTGTGTCGGAGACAGCGGTGTGATTCCAGGATCGCCGAGACTCTTTGCAGGAGATGGGTTTGCCATTTCATCTGTAGAAAAAGAAAGGGAAACATGAACACACTTCAATATCTCAACAAGCATCTTTTTTCATGAGCCAACTATAAGATAAAGTGGAACCTCCCTGATGTAACACAATTTGGTATTTGAGCAAAATCGCAAAAGTCTCTCAAACAAGAAAAGGACCAACCTGAACAAGCCCAAAGAGAAGACAAATATTTAGAACTAACATACCGGAATTATCTAAAATAACTCGCAGAGTCCATTTGACGATTTTGCCACTGTATTTTGAAACTTTTCTTACCCTTTTAGCAACACCCCTCCACCAAAAAACAACTAGATCTTTTAATTTCTGCTCCGAAACAGACAACATGTTTGGAATAATTTTCACATTGTTTTGAGATTGAAAAAAAAAAATGCAGCCCTGTGGAAGGAATTCATGTTGTCGATCTTGCTTCACATTGCTCAAGACATGGTGCCCATTCATGTTTGTTGCAAAAGCAGTGTTTTATGGGCATTTTGGAAACGTCTTCTTACCAACGTCACCTTCCCTCACGTGTACAACTCAACTTTATCAGCAAGTGCAAGCAGACCTCCATGGACATATGATGTTAAGTTGTTAAGTTCAGAAATTGTTTGAAAAAGTCTTTGTTGAAAAAAAGATAACGGACCTCGTTTGAGCTCAAACCACATCTGATACGAAAAAGGAGAGTCTATTCACGTGTGTTGTAAAAGCAAGCAGTTAATGTTGCTTTTTGTAGTGTGCAACATTTAAGTTTTCACGCCTTGTCCATTGAAACATCAGCAAAAGTCATTTGCAACCTCCTTAAAAAAAAAAAAATGACATGACATTTGAATTGAATGGAAGCGCGTCTCCATACATGTACCATTACTTTTATTTGTCTGTCTTAAGAGCCGAAAGTGTACTGTGAATGCACACAATAATAATCATTTTGTCTGATTTATTATAAGAACCTTGTTGAATTGTCTCCCAGCAGGACATCATGTTATCCAATACAATCCAATCCTTTTATCTACCTCACTCATCTTTCTTCTTGTCCACCCCTATGGAGAGGATGAGTGGTCTGAAGTCCCATAGTACACTTTGCCAAGCAATTACAGAGCCAAATTACAGACCACCTGTGGCGACACCCTGTCTAGTCACAATCCAATATGTTTTCCTGCAGCAATGGCAGTCAACTCCCAAAATCACCTTTACAACCTCTAGTTTGTATTCCCCAAAATGAATCATAAAAGGCACATCGTGACTGGAGGACTACTTTAATCGCTTTTCATTCTTACGTGAAGGGGATGAATCAAAATGGACTGCACGGATTCTACAAAAAATTTACTTAATTGCGTATACAGCATAACTGGAGGAGTGGTCAGGGCCTGCAAGGTTTTCGCTCAGAAGCAATGACTCATAGTTAAGAGTAACATTCTAATACATGTTGCATGAAATGTTATTGCCAACAATTTATTTTCTTTGTTTTGTCCAATCAGATCTAATTCTTTATGTGCAACCCTTTCAGACAAATCTTATCAGGGGTTTCAGAAGCAGTAGGGTGATGTCACTGACAGCAGTGATTCCAAATGATACGTGATAAGAATGACTTCCGTATTTTCCGGAATATAAATCGCAGTTTTTTTCATAGTTTGGCCGGGGGTGTGACTTATACTCTGGAGCGACTTATGTGTGAAATGGTTCACACATTGTACACAGCACATGTTATTTTCACATTAAACCGCAAGAGGGTGCTCTCGGCCTGTGTTGATACTTTCCACGTTGGCGGTAACTGAGAAAAACAACTGACGATGACTATGACGTAAGCGACATAGAAGAGGAAGCGCTGCATCTTCTACCTCCGGAGTTGGCAGAGTTGTTTAAAAGTGACACCGAGCATGAAGATTTCATTGGATTTCGTGATTTGGAGTGACGCTGATGGCTTGGTAAATTTGTTAGCATGTTCTTTGTGCTATAGTTGTCTAAATTACTTTTAATATGTTACGTGAACATACCAGGCACATTCACAGTTCGTTGTTTAAGTGTCATGTAACGTTAGCATATTGTACACTTATTCAGCCTGTTGAGCTCTAGTTTTATTTTTATTTTAAATTGCCTTTCAAATTTTGCCAACCTTGTTTTTTTATTTTTCTTCATTGGCCCTAATCCTCTTCTGTACTTTCAAGATGACATGTATGTTTTTTGTGTTGGATTTTATCAAATAAATTTCCCCCAAGAATGCGATTCATACTCCAGTGCGAATTATATATGTTTTTTCCTTCTTAATTATGTATTTTTTGGCTGGTGCGATTTATAATCCGGAGCGATTTATAATCTGAAAAATACGGTACATCTTGTATACATCTTGTTGGTCATTTTTATATATATATATATATATATATATATCTTTTCTTCATTGGCCCTAATCCTCTTCTGTACTTTCAAGATGACATGTATGTTTTTTGTGTTGGATTTTATCAAATAAATTTCCCCCAAGAATGCGATTCATACTCCAGTGCGAATTATATATGTTTTTTCCTTCTCGCTATAAATCACTGATTTATAGCAGGGCTTGACATTAACGGTGGCCCAACGGCCCAGGGATACTAGGCCACTGTGACAACCCACCTTTCAACCCTGGCCTGATCGGGCCACTAAAAATTTCAAAGTCACGGCCGCCAATAATGGTTCATTTTTTTTTGTAGGGCTGAGGCTATCAAATGTTTTGGGATTCGGATAAATAATCGAGTATTGGGATCCAAATAAGAAATACATATTTTTGCTTGATTATAAAACAATTATGAACACGGAAGCAGCAAACTGTATTTTATTCTCTACAAACCAATTCTCACGAAGTTGAGACGTTATGTTCAATCAAACAGAATACAATGATTGGCAAATCATGTTCGACCTATATTTAATTGAATACCCTAAGGAAAAAGGTCAAAAGCCATCATCTGTGATGGCGTAGAGCTGTGAAGGTGCCAATGGCATGGGTAACATATACACCTGTGAAGGCACCATTAATGCTGAAACGTATATACAGGTTTTGGAGAAACAAATGCTGCCATCCAAGCAACATCTTCGTCTTGGACACCCCTGCTTATTTCAGCAGGACAATGCCAAACCACATTCTGCACATGTTACAAAAGTGTGGCTCCATAGTAAATGAGTATGAGTACTAGGTTGGCCTGCCTGCAGTCCTGACTTGTCTATCATTGAAACTGTGTGGCGCATTACAAGCGTAAAAGAGAGGGGGAAAGAATTCCGCCTACAAAGCTTTAACAATTAATGTCCTCAGTTCCCAAGTTTATTGAAAGATGTTCAAAGAATAGGTGATGTAAAAAGGTGGCAAAAATTCTCAGTTAATGATTTTTTGCAAAAAACAATAATGATTATCTGTTCGAACATGACATATACTGTATTGTCTTTGTAGTGTATTCAATAAAATATAGGTTCACCCAGAAAAAGAGTTCACGAGTCGGGCGGTCGCTCACTATGTTGATGTTTGCCTTGGACATTTTCGAAGGATTGTTAAAAGCCGACAAAAGCAAACGTCCTTGGATCAGTTCTTTACAAAATGTCTATTTACATGGAAAACGCGTCTCTACTTACAAAATTTTCTAGTTAAGAAATTTCTTCCAGAACCAATTAATTTTGTGAGTAGAGGTACCACTGTATACAGAACCTATTTTCCTATAGGTTGAGCTTATTGCTCTCTTGGTTGTGACCGCATGAATGTGCAGTACATATCCAAACTCGACTCTACTCTGTAGATATTGAGCCCAGTCAGTACTGTTGGCAGCTGAGTGGCATAGTGTGGTCGTCTCCCCACCCGAGGGTTGTAGGTTCGACTCTTGTGACTATGTCAAAGTGTCCTTGAGCAAGATACTGAACTCTAATTTTCTCCCAGTGGTACTGGCAGTGCTGTGTATGGCAGCAGCCTCCCATTAGTGTGTCAATAAATGTGAGGCTTTGTGAAGCGCTTTGGGCACCATACAGTATGGTGTCTATAAGGTGCGAAGGAAGTGCATCCCATTTACCATTACCGTTTTGTTTGTGTTTCAGGATGAACATTATATGGCTTGGTTTGGTCTTGACCAAGAGCTATTTCACCTTTTGGAGACATCTGACTAAGACATTCAACAAAGATGATAGCATGATGATGACAGCAAAGATGATGACATAGCAGCAAAATAATGATTATTTTGCAAGTTGTTCTTTTCTTTATTGATTTTCAAGTGAGCTCGATCATTATTTCGATGTGACAGAAAAGCCCGGAGCTGTCCTTTATAGCGCATGGATTGTTACACACTGTGCTTGTTCATCGGGCAAACAATCAGACTTTGAAGTTGACCTTGATTTGATCCAGGTCTAGAACTGAATGTACAAATCAGCTTGTTTCAATATGGATAATAGCAGTGTGGTTCAGAAAATAGCACCGGCTAAAATTGTGATAGGAGTGAGACCAAGCAAAGCCTCCATTCTGGTAAGAACAAAAGAGGAGGAGACTTATTAAATTGTGTAAACGTAGCAAACTGAGGTGTCACACAAACAAAGACTTCAAAGAACCATGTTCATTCTACATCAGAGGGACTGCAGTCAAATGAGTTTGGCCAGTGAATCTGCTATTTCTTTCAGCCATCTGATGTCCCTTTTTATTCATGCCCTGCAGAAAAAGAGGCAATCCCCCAACACCCTCCCTCTCATTGCCTCACTCTGACAAACTTGGCCATAAGCCCAGACACACAGAGCAGGGAAACAGCCTGACAACGGCAGTCATGACACAATGACAAACCCTTCAGAGGCCCTATGCTCTAAAAAGACTGCAGAATACCTCATTTCCTTCCCATACTAAATATTGCTAATTGTGGAAAAGTATAAATGTATTTTCAATATATTCTACAATAAGATTGTTGGGAAGCAAAAAAATCAATCACTGTAAACTGACTCTTACTCCCCCCAGTAGTGTTAGTGGGTGTGGGTGGGATGCATCTGTATATCAGAGCTCAGCAGAATATCTGATGA